CTCTCCCCCCCCCCCCCCCCAACTTTGGAAGAATGCTTTTAATATTTTGAAGGGGTCTCCTGGCAAACGGAACTGTAGGTTTTGTGGGGTTGGTTTTTTTCCCTTTACTTAAAGAACTTCAACGAAAAGTAATTTTTCCTGCTTGATTTCTCTCCCTCCCCACCACAAAGAACATATAAACAGCCAGTCACTGAGAGATCATGTGGGGTTTTTTTGTTTGTTTGATTTGGACTTGATATTGTAGAAAAAAGCCAGTTATTTTTAAAAAAGGTCTTTTTCCTGTTATGTAGATACCTGGTTTTGGATGGAGACAGCCACTATGAAATTGAAATTATACAGATTTCAACTGTTCAGATACTTACAGAGGGATTTACTCCTGGAGGTAAATTTTTTCACTGAATACAAATTAACTATTAAGAGAAAAATATGTGAAGTTGTAATTATTGTTCAAGTTAGTGCATTTCTAGGTTATTGGTAACGGAGTTGTAACTAGGTTAGTTACAGCTGCTCTCAGAATAGAGTGCAGTATGTGGAACCCTGTTTGTGTGGCTACTGGGATTTGGGGGAAAACCTAAGAACTGAGAAATTACCTTAGAGCTCTGATCCGGGAGAGCTTCTCATTAAACCCGAGTGAAGGGGGTTATCGTCTGTTCTGATCCTTTCTCTTGGCTAAACACAAACATCTCTTGATTCAAAAGCTCATAGGAGGGAACTGTTAGCCTTTGGTAGCTTCCATTTCAGAATCCAGCAGGGATTTCTCTTCTACTGGCACAAACAATTGTGAGGAGAGTGAGAGAATAACTGTGGGGAATAAAATAAATGATTAAACTACGCTTTTTAAATTTTGTTCAAGAGGAAGGGGTGGCCAAATGAAACTGGTAACATCTGAATCAGAGGGCAGCTACTTACTGCCTCATTTCTTACCAGATTTTAGAATATTTCAGGATGAACTTGAATATGGTTTCACTGAAATGAGAACAAACAAGGTCAGGAATTTTAATAATTGTTCTTTAGCAACACCTCTGTCACTGCTGGAATTTTCTAATGGGACAGCATATCTGTGCAATATTCAGTCAGTACAGCATGTTAACTTTAATCAACTTACCTTGGTATTCAAATCAACCAGATGTGTTGCTGAGTTACTTAATGCTCCTGTAATTCCTTGTTCACTACTCTTTTGACCGCTTTATCTTTTTTGCCTGCCTGCCTGCCTTCTTGATGGTAGAAAAAGATATTCACACTTACACCAGCCTTCTGGAGAGCCAGCATATTACTGAAGGTATCACCAGTACCTTTGAGCATGACTCACCGAAGCATGTTGTCATGACCCCCTCCCATCTTCCTTCCTCTGCTGTGCTGGTTTTTTTGCTTGATCCATAGCTGTTCAACTTAAGACAAGTTACGTTCAAATCTGATGTGTTTATTCCTTCCCATCTGTCTGTTTAATAAACTGAGAGTGAATGTTTTGTAACTTGTTGGAAGACAACTAAACCACTCAAGGCCTTCTTTAGACCACATGTGCTGTTGTCCATGCTAGAAGAGAGAAGGGAAGGTGAGAAGTACTGTCTTTAGTGGCACACAGTATTACACAGAGTGTTACACATCCCCTGCTTCAGCAGAGGTGTGCTGAATTGTGCACACCAGGAATGAGTAATATACTTCTTGAGTACTGTCCAGTAAGGCTTTTCACTGAATAAACAAACCGTTCATTAATGGCTTGCTTTTACACATCTTTAAAAGAAATAAGACCTCTTGTTATATAAGGTGTGTTCTGCCAGACTCAGTAATATCCTGGAACGCTAGATGTGGGCAAACTGGTCAGGGCTGTAGGTGTTTGATTTCCACTAGTTTGTCCTTAAATTGTCCCTAAATCTGCTAGCCTGACCAGGTAGATGCAGGGGAGTGAGTGATGAAGTTGGAGTTCAGTTTATCCTCAAAGAGGAGCAAATAGCTACTTTTGTAAAGACTGCTTGTGGGCAGTCTTTTGATTGAGATTGTCTTTGGCTGCTTGGATATTACAGTCATGGCCTCCAGGAGCCCTCTCACACAGACACTTTTTAAAAAGAACTTTTTGCAAAAAGTGTCCTTCTGTGCACAGTGGAGCTGTTCCTGAGGCTTAGTTTAGGCTCTACCACTTCAGGAAATAATGCCAATAAAGTGTTGCATTCTAAACAAAGTTTGTTTCATTTCTGTATTTTTGCTTTGGTTTATTTTAATCTCTGTGCAGCCAGAGGAAAAGAGATACAAACATCTGACTATCACACTGCTGTCAGAGCAATGTCTTTTGTAGCAGATTTCCTTCCTTCAGGAAGTAAATGACGTTGCCAGTCATTACTTAAGTCTTGGGTAAGCATCTTTCCCAAGCTTTGCTGGGTTTGGAGGGACTTTTAACTGCCATGCCCAACTTTGGATCAAACAGGGATCCCTCTTCCATTATCAGTCTAACTGGCCACCAGTAATACATTTACAAACTGCAAGCTACAGTATGAAACTATGGTATCTACTTAAGAGAAGGCATGGTAATATTAACACACGAGGGTGTTCTGAGTGTGTGCAGCTGGTGGCTGTACTCAACGGTTTACACGAGTTCTGCCGCAGTGATTGCCAGAGAGAGTTAAATGATATGAGTCTGCACATTCCATTGCCTGGCATTAACACTTGTGGTCACTACCAGTTGTTAGTGCACCTGTAGTTGCTAGTGCTTTGAATTAAATTATGAGAGAGGCAAGTTTTGGTTTGTGGTGAGGTGGGTTTTTTTGGGGGGGTTTTTTTGGTGGGTGTTTTTTTTTTTTTTCCAAACATGCTTATTAGCTAGAAGTTGTGTTACTTAGTTGGTACAGTCTGTTGCTGTTCAAGATATTATTTCTCTCTTCAGGAGGTAATACTCGTGCCATAGGTATGATTCTCCAGTACAAGGTACCGGGATCTGAAGAGCTAACGCAGATGAAATTTACAGCCAGTGAAGACCTCAGCTGTAACAAGAAGCTGGCAGCAAGCTGGCTGGCAGCGATGCACAAGGTAAGCAAAGCAAGCAAAATGTACAGAAAGCTGGAGAAAATCTTACTGTGGGGTGCTTAGTAGCACTTAGGAGACTATCAGCCTTAGGAGTCTTTTTTTTATTTTTATTATGATTTTTTATTTAAGGCTTTTAGAGCCTTGTGACTTAAGAAAACAGCAGCTGTAGATGGTTGTTATGAGCATGAGTAGCTTTGAGTCTTTTTTTTATTTTTATTATGATTTTTTTATTTAAGGCTTTTAGAGCCTTGTGGCTTAAGAAAACAGCAGCTGTGGATGGTTGTTATGAGCATGAGTAGCTTCATGCTCAGATACCTGAAGAAGATATGCACTACAAAGGGCTTCCCAAGATCTTATGTGTGTCATTAGGTGAAAAAAAAGTGGGAATTAGACTTTCAAGTTCCTTAGGCTTTTGTTACTCACTGAAGAATGTGTGTTACGAAGTACTCTTTTTAAGTCTGCTAATTGTTTTTACTACTTTATGAAGGTGGTTGATTTTTGCAAACAGGAACAGGGGTGAGGGCAGGACCCTGCAGAAGGCTGTTTTGTCCTTTGTTGCTAGGCACTGTATGGCTAGGGAAACTGAAGTTTATGATTTCCTAAGTCAGAGTTATGGGAGACAAAAACCAAAACCACCCCAACTAGTTCTGGAACTTTGTTCATCTGATCAATTGTTAATTAGAACTGTAATTTATAAGCTGTCTGCAAATGCAAGTCTGTGGCTGTTTGTTTGTTAAGCTCCCCAGCATTTGTGTTCAGCACAGAGCACTCAAACTTTGTATTGCCATCTCAGGGCAACTTAGCGAGGTAACTCCTACAAATACAGTGAGAACCAGCATTTTATGGATAAGCATAACACCCACCGCTCACTAATTTGACTCCTTTGAAAGGAGCTTTGAGTAACTGATTGATGCAGTGAGACTTTCAGAGGTCCTAGGTAACAGCATGTAACTGGACTTGCAGCTGGAGAGTGCACATCTGTTCCCGTCACAGGGGGCTGGTTCACTCTGTAGTTTGAGACAAATGAACACCTCACCCAAACTCCGCAGGGAGGCAGCAGAAGGAGTAGGAGGAATATAGAACAGAATAACATTCTTTACTGCAGATGTTTTGACACATTACCAGAAATACTACTGCTAGCTCTTTCCAAGCCAGTTTTGATCAGAAATTGTCATTTCTTATCAAGAAGAAACAATTGTAAGTTTATCTAGAAATTTTCAGTGACCTCAGGTTGGACTTGACTTAAAGTAGCCTTGAATAGTTTCAAAAAATTACCAAATGCTATTAAAAGCCTTAGATTAAGGAAAATAGCAGAGGAAGAACTTCAAGCCTTGGGTTTAAAGAAAACTTTTGGAGGGCTAGGAAGGAGATGACGTGGCTGCAAGTGAAACTTCAGTTAACACAATGACATTTTGCCTTCATGTTAGGCAACAAAACTTCTTTATGAGTCCCGGGACCAGTAAGACCAGCAAAGTGTTGGCCACTTGAGGGAAGACACCAGCTCCACGGACCTGCCTCTCCCGTTTTGGTAATTTGACAGCTGGTAACATCTGCTACTCTTGACCCTTTCTCATTCCAGTGTGGTTCACTATGTAAGAACTGGCAAATGCAATGTAAGTGTTTTTTTGAACCATGAGTATTCACTCTAGTGTGCAATATGTATACAATTAATGCTTTAAACAGCCTCACCTTTTAAGACTTTGTATATTTTGTTAAGCCTTTATTGGCACTTAATATGAAAGTGACCTGCACTACAGCTAATGTACAGCACAACTTTTATAGTAACAATTATATTTACTGTTTGCTACAAAAAGCAAACAAATGTGTATGTCTCTTCTGCAGAGAATAGCTTTTGGGTATAGATCTCAGGTTTTTCCCTCTATCCAAATGTTTAAAATCAATGTACAATAAAATCTGCCTTAGATATGATTTTATAGAAGTCACTTGATTTTTTTAAACATTTCATTTTAAACATCTAAATATTTCACCAAATTGGACTTACATGAACATGATCTTGAAACTTTCCTTCTGTAATAAATAAGCTTCCAGAATAATTTTTAGTTTTGTATTTTCTTTTTGGTAACTAGCTTTTGTTAATTAACTGTAATGCTCTCTGAAATTGTATACAATTTAATGTACAATTATGAATAAATTAATTCACTTATTTAAAAAAAATGAGGTGATACTTAATTTCACACTATAGAACTTCTTTAATGATGGACAGTGTGGCCTCTACTCTCTGAACTCAAACTTTTGACTTTTTAGAACTAAAATTAGGATGCTGTTCGCAACTGTTGATAATTGGTTCAACTTTTGAGAAAAATCCTCCAGCTACACATGCCGAGCCAAGTGTCTTTCTGCCCTCTGTCTTCCTACACTGGTAAAAATTGAGTAAACAAACACCCAAGTCTCAAGTTGTCGGCTTGTGTGTAAAGGACCCTTGAGAGCTTTTCTAGACAAGTACTGATTGGTCACAGTTGGAATACTGAAGCACTGGTTTAAGGACGTTCCAAAATTGTTTGGCAAGTCACTTTCTGTGCAGCTGGTAAAGCAGTGAGGAAACTTAACAGGCAGAACATGGCAAGCTAGAATTAGGCTGTTTATGTAGACTATGCCCAAAGGCACATCTGCTGTGGCTACCTGTATAAAAATACTGGAGAATGCAGCCATGCCTTAGCAGTACTTTATTGTGCACATTTACATGTTCTCTGAATTAGTGTATCCTAGGCTCTTGAAATCATCACATTCATGTAGCAAATTCTTCAACAATAATACCCTTTCACTTTTCACCACAATATATACAGTTAATGCTAACCTGTGGTAAAAGCAAGTTACAGCACTGCAGAAATGGATATATAAATTATACACAGAACTTGTACATGAAGAATTAATCAAATTGCATACTGTTAAATGGGAGAAAATTACAAGAAATACAGCTAAAACTTATAATGGGAAATTCAAAATATACTTTTGGTATATAAAATCATGTACAATTAAAACTCCAGTGAAGTGCTTTTTTTTTTTTTTTTTTTTGCTTGAAACTACAATGTAGTGGAATAGGTTATTGCATAACTTGCCTTGGCAACAGATGTAGGCTGCCAAGAACCACAGAAACTGTCCTCAAATAAGCTATTGCCTTTCTTAAATCCTCCTCAAACCTTGTTACTTTCTTCTCCTTGACTTAGCATCTACACAACCCTCTTCCTACTTCTATCCAGTCCTTCATAGTTTCTTCTAAATTGACTCAAGCAGACTTCAAATTACACAGTGTAACCCTCACCAGACTCTTACCCTTTTCAACTATTGCACTTTCATCCATGCAGACATACAAATCCCTTAAGCTGCTGCAAGTTCAGTACTGTTTTGTCCAGAATGGACGAGCTCAGGTGGTTAGGAGGGGAATCTTTACATGAGTAGAGGTAACACTGGTGCTGTAAGCTGAATAATAAGAAAATAAAACACCAGGTGAAATACAGTATAGGGGTTTTGAGAAGTGTATAAATACTGTTGTTTCGTTAGTTCTCTAACTCGATTCTAAACGCAAATAATACTAGATGCTAGACTATGTAAAGCTTTTGTTGGGGTTGTCTAGACTAGGATTTAAGTGTGTATATAGCATGTTACCACTTAAAATCCTAGCCTTCATAAAGCTTTGGTGACTACTTAATTATGCATGTAATAGGTGAAGATCTTGTGTCCTAGAACCCAAAGAGTTGATCAGTAATGAGAACTCAACATTCACTGGTATCGAACAAAATATCCAAAATCCTGACATGGGACAGTTACTGTGGGGTTGGAGCAAACTGGACAGCATATCTGCACTCCGCAAATGACACCTCTGAACATATAACACAAGAAAGCTCCTACCACAGAACTTAAAACACTGCTTCAGACGATAGTTGGCGCAACACTGTAGGTAGTGGAGGTATCGCTCTCCTCATCAGTGGCGGGTCACATAAAAACGATCCTCATTTACAAACTGCAGATCTTGAAAATCTTGGATGCTGTCCATTTAACAAGAGAAAGCACCATTAAAACTAAATATCATAGTTTTATTTCTCTGTGTGAAATGATCAGAAATGATGGCTCCAGTGTATGTTTTAGGTTTCCAGTTACCAGCACGGTATTGCACTGTTGTACAATTGAATTCAAGCAAGGGTTCGCTGTCTAGGTTTTATTCGTGGATATAACTGTAAAAACAGAATAAAAATATTAGGCTTTGCATGGTTGATACCAAGTTTTATATAAATCAATTCAATTATAACCAAGAGGTACTTATTAACAAGAACCGGGTGATGCAAAGTGTTTCGGGGGTGAGGCTTTTGTAAGCTCCAGCATGTTCTTGGGTAACTTCTGAAAAATTAAACCAGAAACAGCAAGAGACCAAGGGCTGACTTCTTCCTGCCAACAGCAGCAAAAGGCTGCTCTGAACATGACTGTTCATATAGATCAAGATCCCAGACTAGACCATAGGATGCTTTTATCCAAGTACAAGAATTCCCTGTCAAGCCTTTGAGAGAGCTTATTTCCTGTTCTATAAGGTTTTCTTTGCATTTTATCCTCTGTATCATCTCTCTACTTAGCAGCCTTACGTTCCTGGTCTCTCATGATAGCAGTGTTCCATTTGACCGAGAGCAGCATAAACGACTTGCCTACAGTGGTCATTGTCAAGGCTCTTTCCTGTTCTAAATGTGTACCTAGCTATCTATTGTATATATTAAATGTGTACCTAGCTATATATATTGCTTATCCTGTAACAGGTATTAAAACCCTTCCTAAAGAACTTCCTGGGCCAAAGCTTCAGGCTGCCTAATAGAGCCCCTGCACTTCACATAGGGGCACTATATTTCAGCCAAGGGTGGGGGGGAATCTTAACAATTAAAGCATAAACTATATTAAATACATTAACTTGCCAAACCAAAATGAGCACTAATCTCCTAACCATAGCCTCTCCTTTTTCATTACAATGACAGAGGCCAGAGGGAATAAGGGTAGTCTGCTTTGCAGCACTTCATAGCAGTGTATCCAGATGACGCACAGAGGGATTCTGACCAAAGATCCATCTTGTGTTCCTACTTCAGGAGGAAGTAAAAAACAGAAGGGAGAAGGCACCTTAAAAAGAACTTACCCCAAGAAGATTTTTAGGCACGTAGCCTTCTTTATCATTGAGGCGGGCCCACCACCACTCTGTTTCGTTGTCATCCTTGCGTCTTAGAATAGTGATGGCATCGCCCTCATGGAACGACAACTCATCATTATTCTGCGCTTCGTAATCCCACAGAGCGTACACCACTCCTTTATTCATCACTCCCAGCTTCTCTTGCACTCCTGATAACAACAAATTAGAGAACACACAAGACAGTAAAATATCCTGGTTTTCCCTCTGAGATTTTTAGTGTGGACACTGTGGCCCTAATATTAGTCTCTTATTAGTAAAATTTCATGAACAATTTTCAGCCCTTCCATGATGAAATGCTTTCAGAAGTGTAACTGCATGATAAAACCAAATTTTACAGACTATTTTAAACCAATGTAGGGCATGAGGTTTTTCTCTTTTATTTTATATGCAATAGAAACTACAATCTTTTATTCAAATGAGGATAAAAATAGTTTTACAAATGTTTGAGCAAAGCAGCTTTGCAGAGCTGCTGTATATTTCGCACAGGCCTGCTTTCTACAGCAGGCCTTACACAGTAACACTTGAAGCTTTTGATAATCTGCACAGTGTCAGATATACAGAACCTTAATAAAGCTTATATCCTCTGATGGAAATTAAAAATTTGTCTGCTCCATCAAGGTACTTTTCTTGCAAAATATATCTTAGTAACTGAATACATTCTGTAATTTAATGATTCATAAAGTATATGTGTTTCTTCATGTGATCTGCTAGAAGTCTGTGCATCTGGAAGTTGGAGTATCTCTGTCAAGGTGCTTGACAACTCACTGTTATTGTCAAAAGCTCCCCGTGGAAGCATTTCCTTGAAATTTAACTTTAAAAATCTGTAACATTAGAAGCCTGTGAAGTAACTCAAAGAACAGGAGGACTATGAGTGACATAATCATGAATAATCTGGTTTTTGCATTTTGAAAGAACAGGCGAAGTGCTACATTGTCAAGTTTGGGACCTAAGCAATGTTTTATGCAGATCAGAGACAAGAAGGGATGAATTTTAGAAAAGCTAAAAAAAGTTTGCAAAGTAGCGTCACAGCTTACCATACAAGAACTGGGAACACTGAATATAACCTTCTTCCATCTCTTCACACTTGTCTGCAGCAGTTTCTATATCACTTATAGTTGAAGCAAAAATAGCTGCCCCAGATTCAACCAGTAGTTTACAGAGATGAACACTATTGCAAGAAGCAGCACAATGCAAGGGTGTCCTGAAATAAAGCAAAAACATAGACATTAAAGAAGAAACTTCCCTGAATCTTAACTATTTTGTCTTGCAATATAGAGTTTAGCCTGTCTATTTTTAAAGGAAATTGTTCTTTATGATTATAGTATATATATGCATTGTCCAAAACCTGTCAAGCAACTGGAGTGGATTCCAGGATTTATGTTACTCCAGTAAAGCCAAACACTATAAAATAGATTTTAGGAAAAATGTTGATTTTTATAGCTTACAAACCTGCTGGGTATAAAGAGATATTTTCCAATAGCAGGAAGTTTGAAAGGTAAAATAAGGTGAGGGCGAAACCAATCAGCACAGCGAGGTTTCACATCCCCTCCAAACGTGTCAGAAGTGCTACATCTACCTGCATGGCCAGATTGTTCAAGAACACAAAAAATGTGTGGTGGGTTCTATGAAGATGAAACTTAAAGTAACTTTTGTCATTTGTTATTTACAGTTTCATTATTTCAGCATGTGAAGAAGAAATGCAACTATACTACTAAGTAAAACCAAAATGTAGTATACTTTATGATTTAAGTGTGCTAGCACATGAACTGAACACAATGTAACTTTCCATTTGAGTTCGTCTCCACCTAGAGATTGGACAGTGTTCATTTGCTGGGGGTAAGGAAATTGTTCCCCCAGGAACAGGTCTCAACTAATTTTAAATGTGCATCAAAATGGTGTTTCTCCCAGATGCTAAGGTAAAAATCTTGACACTTACCACCCATCGCTATCTGCTGCATTTACATTTACGCCAAAATCAAGCAGGAACTTCACAATGTGGTGATGACCGGCACACACTGCATTATGCAGAGGTGTAATTCCTTCATCATTTGGTTTACTGGGATCATCAACCTATTGAAAACATAAAATAGTTCAGCACTTTTTTTATTTTTCTCCCCTAAATATTTAAAGGGGTTGCCATTGTTTAGAAGCTCACCTCATATATGATTCGTTGTACAAGATCAAATTCTCCCTCCAAGGAGGCATCTAGGAGGAGGGCCAATGGATTGAACTTCACTCTCAAACCGTGGCCTGTTCTTTCTGAGTTAGGTTTCTTCAAGTTGGTACGTTTTGTCTGAGTAGAGATGAAGGTTGGAAGGCATGATTTCAGGTTGCGTAAGTATTACAAACAATTCGGTTACTTTTTAACTAGATTAAGAATCCCATCTTCCTCAAACGGTAAGGAGAGGTACACAAACGTTTCCATTATAAAGTCTCTAACTAAAAGGCTTGAGATCTTACTACGACTTATTCAGTTAAAAAAGTGTGCCAATATAATTTAGAAGCTTCTAAAGGTATTAAATACAAGGAACAAAGTACTTAATGATTTTTGAGCCCCACTATTTTCATTGTATCTAACATAAGCTGAATGTGTTTCTGGTGCATTGTCTGAGACACTGTCAAAACTTTTGCTTAGACTAGAAAGCATGCCACAATTAAGCCTGAGTATCAGTCTCTACTCAGAGGAATCTTTGCCTTGAATTAGCAAAAGTATCTGCTGGAGGTCAGTACCAAAGAGTTTTGCTGCAGAAAGGAAAAGTACAGAACACAAAGCTATTTTACGTGACATTCTGCTTCTTCTGATAACACCAGCTATTCTCAAGATCTGAAACACATTTAAATGTGTTTGAGCATATTCTGAATCATTCACATGTATCCTTGTCACTTTCCAGAAAAAAAGTCTATTATTAATTACAGCTTTTATAGAGTGTTTTTCATCTCTAGCACTGGAAGATCTGTTTTCATTTATGCTCCTTTTCAGTATGGCTATTTCAGTTTGGAAAATACACCTCTCACAGTATGAATAGTATCTTTTGGTGGCATATTCCATTCTCCCAGAAGTATCCTGGCCCACTTGTGCTCATGGAAAATGCATACAAGGTCCTGTGCACACTGCAGTCAAATTGTCAGAGGAATGCAAGGTCCCTCCGTGAATCAAGAAGTGGAGATACTCTTTGAAACCAATGTTAAAGTGAGTCATATCAACAACTAAGAAAAAAATAATCAGTTTTCTCCCTAGTTTCATTTCTCCATATGCTGTAGATTTTGGTAATGACAAGTATTTAAAAGATCTTGGTGCAGCTGGAGGAGGGACTTTGAAAGCAATTCAAATTATGCAACAAGCCCATTAGAAAAACATTTCTGCTAAAACAAGTCAGCTGTGTTGCTGCTAGTGTTGTCAGCCCTGGTCTCACATCTCTCTGCTGTGGGGGAAAACGAGTGCACTTTTCTCAGAACAGTTATTTTCAGCTTGCTTGCAAATTAAAAAGCTTCCCGCTGCCATAGCTCACCCTTGGTTTCATACAAATTGTTATCTTTGTAGGCCCATAGAAATGAAAAATTATTTTTAATGGAATCTCAGGTCCCAGAATTAGTCCTACGAGACTATATCCTGTAAAAAGTTCCACAGCCTAAAGTACATACACAATCTCCCATTGCCTGGATGCATATTTTCCTTATTAAATAGCTTACAGTACCAAAGAAACTAACCCATCAGAATTCTCATTGGAGCCCTCCTGGTTTTCTTTTCTTTTAGTATCATGAAACTTGAAGTGCAAACAGAGTGTTCAGCATAAGCTTACCATCTTCCAGTTGTGCTTAAACACACAGCTAATTCTATAGTTCACAAAATTGTCTTTTTGCTTTGTTACTTACTGGAGGAAGCGGAGGAGGAAGAGCAGGTGGCAAAGGAGCTTCATCTTCTACTGGAGAACTGACCTCAGGCGTGGGACTGGGTGACTGTTCAGTAGAAGGAACTATAGCAGGATTGTTGTTGTTATCTTCAGTTGTCTCAGATGTTTGATTTGTGGTTTCAGTGCTTATCAGTTCCTCAGTAGCAGGAGAAGGTAATTCATTGTCATTGGCATCTGACGAAGGGGGTGGCTCATCAGGAAGAGGAACTGTAGGTTGCACGGAAATAGGTTCTTCAATATTGCCATTGGTACTAGTGTTTCCGTTATCAACATCTGCTAGGATGCCTATGAAGTCCTGTGGATTGCTTGGCTGATAAAAAGGAGCACTCTCTATTCCTCCAGCAAGAGTATTAAAGCGCTGATACAATAATTTTTGTATATTTGGTCCACTTGGGCCTTCTGGTTCAGTGATAGAACTACGCTTCTTTAATGGCCTAGGAGCATTGGCCAATTTTCTTCTCAGAGCTTCAAGGTCAGCATCACTTTGATATCGTAGGGGTGAATGCACAATAGGTGTGAGCTTAGTAGGACTGAGAGGACGAGGAATGTTTTCCACATTGCTATTTTCACTGGATGATGGAGCATTTTCCAGCTCTTGATCTTTTTCAGAGACCTCAGTCTGAGGCTGAGATTGTGGCTGTGAGGAAGTCTGGGCAGGCAAAGAACCATGAAGGAATGGCAAGGGTGAGGGAGAAGTTGAACCAGATTGTAATACAGGTTTTCCATAAACTGAAGAAAAGAAAGATGGGAAACAGTGAAGAACTGTTCTCAAATTACATAATAAAATATTTGCAAATAAACTGCATATGTGTCTATTGCTACTTGTTTGACGCTAATATAGAAAGAAAAAAAAAATATATTGGAACCTATCAAACCAGAAATAAATGATGTGATGCTTCTTACAATTATAAGCTACAAGTAGCTACAAGTAGCACCTGGAATGTTTTTCCTCTTTCATGAGGAAACAGTAAGAGGAGAAAAAAACCCTCTCCTCTCTAGACACTGTTTTTTCAACTTGTTTCTGGAAGTATCAGTAGAGTATCTATTGTTCTAATAGATAGAACAATATTGTTCTAATTGCATCTTGTTTTAAATAAGTATACATTCAATTACGTTTTATCACCCCCAAAATATATGGGATCATTTTTCTGCCATGCTGCATACATAAAAATATCTTTCCTCTTCTCACTGATGTAGACAAATTTTTCAAACTGATACAGAAAGTAAACTAAGCCCAATAAGAAGATCTCAACAGTCTATTTCAAAGGGAAAAAATAAAGCAAAATATATTCTACCTGCTTTTACCGACTTATTTAAGGTATTGTATACAGCTTGTTGATAATTCTTTGGTGGTGTTGCTTGCTGAAGATACATTGAATAGATGGAACTAGAGTTCACTGTCTGTGGCCCTTTTCTGGGAGACTGAGGTCGTGATCCTTTATCAGCCAGAAAAGGTCTGATTGCCACAGTCAAAGGGAGCTCTGGCCTGCCATCTCCTCCGGGAAACAAGGGGGGACCAGACGGTTGATACGTAGGGCTGGGAGGTACAGAAATTCTCTGTTGAATCTGTTGTGAAGAACTGGGCTGATGTACATTGCTTGGTGGCGGAAGTGGAACAGGTCTTTGCCGATTTGTTATACTTGTGCCAGGTCTGGGCAGACTGCCATCCTTCCTTCTTTCTAGAGAATTTGTAGAACCTGTTCCTAAGGGAATTGGACTTGGATAGGTCCCGTAGTTTTGAGGCAACTGCTTGCTTACACCAGGAATTGTTGGTGGTACCTTCCCCAGGTCAAGACCCTATGTAAAACCAATAAAAAAGTATATACCATTTAATTAAATAACATACTTGTGAGCAAGAACATTCCTCATTCAACAAAACATACTAAATTATCTTGTGTGATAGCAAACAAGTCAATATAGACAATTTGTGTTCCTTAATCACTAGGTATGATTCTACCTGAATTTATCAGAAGACCTCATCATACGTCAGAGGCCACTGTTTAAAGGCATCTTCAGCTATAATACAATAATATGAATCCAAAACTATTTGCGTACTTTCAAAGCCTGAAGAACTTGTTCTATGTTTTGCATCTCAGCATCTAGTTGATAACATATTTGATAATACGTAATGTGGTATCAGAGTTTACCAAAACTATTTAAAGACAAGGTCCTTATTCTTTAAAGAATACCATCTTAAAGAATTCATAAAGTACTAGAACAACAGTGCAGAGAGACGCCACCAGCGGACTCACTTTTGTAAGACTTGTGTGGGAAAAAGAGCACATTGAAAAAGTTATAATCTACACCAAGGAAAAATGGTAACAAAGATTTGAATTATAAAAATAGGAAGGTGGGAGAGATGATTAGAAGAAGCGAAGGGAGAGAAAAGGGGAGATCAGATGTGTAAAAAAACAGGAAGGAATATGAATTACTGAAGTTGGAAAAAAAAGATATAAATTGTAATGTGGTAAGAACAGAAAGGAACAGGAGGAATACAAAGGTAATGTTCTTTATGATTTTTAAAATAATCATCAGCAGGGAAACTGAATGTGTAGGTAACTGAAGTTAGTTCAGCTATGGAAGCCAAAGGTTCATTATTTTCAGCAAAACAGATCTATAAATATATCACAGATGAAACCCACCAGCTTATCAGTACTTCCTAATACTGAAGTTGGCAAAGGCTGGCTGGATATAGTTCCTTGTTTTAAAGCAGTATCCATGCTTGATTCTTTCCAGTCTGTGTTGGAGATCTGAGGGGGTTTTACCACAGGGGTTGAGCTCTGTTTAAGTATTGGCCAATTTCCATCATTAGCTTGAAAACAGACAAAAATACTATATTTAAGATAATCCACACCACCATTGTAAACAAGCAAAACAACATGTGAAATGGAATAGCTTAGATTACAACAGGATTAATTTGATTTCAGAAATGAGATAAATCACTATTAATGCTTGATTTGGAAATCAATACTGAAAGCCCAATCACTGCATTTAATATGCTGTTCATTACCTTGATATTCAAATTATATTGAAAATTCCTATAGAAAAGAAGTTGGTTAAAATTTTGGTTTGAGTGTTGCATATTCTTCTATTAGAAGGCAAACAAGTTCAGAACACAAATCCTCATAGAAACACTTTGTCAACATATTTCTTTTGGCATTATGCAGAGACGCTGTCAAATTATGCTAAATGTTATGTCTATGTAAGCTTGGAGTGGACTTACTCCAAATATAAACTATGGTTACTAGATTCATTCACTCATAACAGGATGTAAAAGCTCCTTTCAACAACAGGGTGGAACAAAAGCATACATTCCTTTGCTGGAAGTGGTGGTTAACCTACCTTTTGTTTTTCCTCAACATACTCACCTGATTAGAATTGCCCCAGAGATTTAATTTTAAAGAAATTTTTAAAGTCAGCTGACAACTTCAACTCACCGTGTCAAGATACAAGTCATGGGCTTTTATCTTCATCATATGCAAAAAAAATAACGCATAGCTGTACATAAACTGAGGCAACAAATCCTTAATAAAGTCTGGACGCGTTGATATGTTACTTCAACAACTGCGTGAGACTGTTTAGTTTCTGTTCTCTAAGTAAGCAAGGGAGTTTAAATAGCATTTACATCTGGCTTCTCGGAAGTAGATAGATCCTAAGGCTTTGATTTGCCTTTAAAAGATTAAACTTCAGGTTTCTCTTACTCTAAGGAGACCAGAGATCATTTCTCCTTCCCTATTGCCTGTAATTACCTTAGTGGAACACTGAGAATCAGTAAAGATGACATGTAACGTGTAACTAACTTTACTAGAGGATAACAACTAAAATGGAGGGGAGTTGGGGGTGTGTGTAGATTTACTGAGATTTCTGGACCCTACCGTAAGACAACATCAAATGAAAATTGGGTTATTTAATGGCAAAGTTTCCCATTTCATTTGAGTTTTAAGCCCCTAGAAAACAGAATCAGTAAGGCTACTCTTTCCGTCCTCTGTCTAGTATAGTGGACAGTCTAAGAATAAGCTGCATAGGAATATTCTAGTTACAGTGAATTTAATATCACCACTCTACTTTCTATCCATGAGCCTTATCCTCTTTATTGATCCATGAGCTTTATTCTTTTCTTCCCACCCCACGGAAATGACAACCTGAAGATTTCTTGACAATTACCACCCAATGTTTTCACTATATGAGTGCAAATTCAGCCTATTAGCTCAAACATATTTATAGGCTTGTCACTTTTAAGTGAGCAAAAAAATAAGAAGTTCGACCTCTGCATTTAAGCTACCACTGTAATTATTTTTTAATTATATGTGCAGACCATTCCTTGATATTCCACACACAATATTCTATTAACCTTTCAGATCAACTGTGTTTGAATTCTGAGAGATAATTACTTTGGAGCAAGAGTATTTTTGTGGTTAGTCATTTAAACAAGGTTAACACTTCCATGTTTTTACACTGCGAATATAGCATATAGTGCAGAAATCACTTTTTACACTTGCAGACTACCAGGAAGTGATGAGGCCCAGCTTTAGTACTGGCAACATCCAAGAACTGGATGTGTTGGATTTTTTGTTTGTTTTTGTCTTTAATCATCTGGTTATCAAGAACAAGACCAAAAAAGATGACTGTCTAAACACTTTGACTAAATAACAGCAAATCTTCCAAGTATGCACTGAATTAGCATTTACTGTACAAAATATACAGGACATTCCATAACTCCAGTAAGGTTATGGTTCAGTAAAACTTTTGTGTAGAAAATCAGTAAAAGGTGTTATAACTGACTCATGGTAAACATGAAAACATCTTTGGCCATAAGTTTAGCTATGAAGAATGTACTTACAGAAACAACAGCAAAAATCCCAAAGAATGTCATTATCTTACCTGCAAATACAAGCCCACACTCTTGTATTAGAAAGACAGTTATACAAAAACTTTTTGTAAACCTTCCAATTCCAAATATTAGCATGTTCATCCCCAAATTCTGAGGTAACAGATTGGAAGTAAATTCAGACTCTCTCTCCTCTCTCTAATTTCTCTGTTTCATTCTACTTACATAAACATCAGAATGTAACTGTTACCACATCCATGTCTTTCATATTACAATCTGGCAGACTTGCCAACTACCATGCATTTTCTGTGACTGCTTTTCTCACGTACTCCCACAACCCAAGCTGAATCTCAGGCACTTAACTAAGCTGCTGTTGCAATCTGCAGCTGCAGTGTATGGTGCCAGAGGCTGCATGATAGGTGCTCAGAGGAGGCAACCAAACAGCATCTGACTTCTGCTATCTTTGGTGTGACTGAACAGGTCCCACTGTTGCCCATCTGATGGCAACGCCCTTCTGACAAGCCCTTACTAGCTCCAGCTCTCAGCCACCCCACAGTCATTTCAGCCAACTGGCTTTATTTTCTCCTCCAACTGTACCCTCTTGTCCACTGCTTCTAAGACTACCCAACACCCAGAGTATTTCGACTCCCAACAGTCCATTTTGCATTTACATAAATAAGACAGTGACATGTAGACATAATAGGTTTTGTGCATTTTCTCTGCTTTTCCTAAAATTTTTTGTAGGTCTGGATCCAGGACACTTACTATAGCAACTGAAGTGCAAACCAAGTATTAACATTTCTGTCCAATGGAAGTCAGCAAGATTCTTGCTATTGACTTGGACAGAGTGAGCTTTTATCCCAACTCTGGGGCCAGTGCAACATGGAAACTCAAAGTTTCCCCACAAAGTAACTCAAGCTGAACCTGTAGATATAATAAAACATGCTTTGGTGATTACTATGAATTTTCCAATAACAATTAGAAAATTTCAAGTTTTTTCAACCAAAAAAATCTTCATCCCTAGTACACTACTCTAGTACTCCAGGGATGAATTTGCTGCAAATTTGTTTCCTGCAAAGATGAAAAGCAACTTCTCAACAATTTTACATTTCCACAGCATCTTCTGCATGCCAGACCACAACACAAGCTCTAAAGATGCTGTTTAACATGCATCTGTATGCAAGAGCTCAGATGACCATATTAAACACTGAGTTCTTAGCTAGCCAGAGATCTTCTACGGACTCACAGTGCTGGGTGTCAAAGAGAGTAGGTGCCAGGCGGATGACATTGTGAACAGCAGACTGAAGAGAAGTGGGAGGTGACAGAATAGGATCCACTATTATGTCTAAATCAGAAACCTTCCAGGTGTCTGGAGATTTTTTCACACACCCACAGTCTGTCTCTACCGGACACACCAAGGCAGATCCAGTTACACAGAAAAAGAAAGAAAAAAAGTGGTGGAAAAATTATAACAATGACAATGGAGAAATTAGAACAGGAACACTCAGATAATGAGAAATAAAAGCATGACAGTTGAAAAAAATTTCCCAGTTTCTTTTCTTCCTGGGAGCATATAAGTCTCTCCTTACATATATCTATCTTATAGGACTTTATTCATGTACATTCAGAGTAATAAACACAAAATCAGTCCTAAGGTAGAATAATTACTTTTATAAAATCAAAAAGTAATCATTCAGAGATCTTGTAACCTCCTGAGGTAGGTCTAGAAGTGGGTATGTCTATCTTCTGAGGTTGATAAATATAAAATAGTGAATTATTTTTGGTTGGTGAACTTAAAAGTTACGAGTTGTCCTTTCTCACATATGGAAGAGGAATCCACGTCTCAAAAACAAAACTGTTGCAAATCTGTCACTGCACCCTGCAATTAAGTCATTCCATATTCTTAAGACTTTTCCATAAAACCACAGTGAAGGGGTTTGTTCAGCCTTTGAATTAAACTAAAGGTGGTGTTATATCACCAATATCAATGGAAAAGACTGGGTTTGTTGGTTGTTTTTTTTTTAATGTTTTGTTTAGATATTTTCACCTCCTGTTTTGGGCGGGTTGGGTGTTGGGGGGGGGTCATTTCTGTCATTCTTTCCTACAGAGATGTTCCCTCCATCTCTTCCTCCCCATTTGGAAGTATGCTGCAAGCTTTGCTCGAGTACTCAGTTTTAAGTACTGGAACATATATGAATATTGCAGATTTGCTCTAGTGGTCATTTTTTATCTCATTTTTAGATGTCTCATAGGAGACCAGGGGAACTAAGCCTTGTGGTTAGACCCATGGGATCATGCATTTTTATTTGTATGATGCACATTTTCCTAGCTACTGCTTCTTAAGAACTCTGATTTTGCTAAGATGCGAGCAGAGAGGTGAGCTTTGGCAGAATGAGAACTTAAGGCAGAAGTGTCATGACCTGCTTCCTTCAGTCTCCAACGTAAATTTAAAAAGATAGTAATTCTATTTTATAATGTAGTTACTATTATTAATTATGGGAGACATGGGAGCCAAGTGTGGACCTCAAGTTCTGGGGAGTACTCTGGAGGGGCAACTCCTTCACTAATGAAGGTGGAAACAAGTGAACTGCATCAATGCTAAGGTTATTCGATTTCAGATAGGCTTCAAGCATCACAAATTCTCATATCTCAGTTGAAACAAAAACTTCACATATTTTTATTCTATTTTCTATTTAGTCTCCTTCTCAGAAGTAATATTATTTTTACTTGTTCACTAGCTTTGTTTTACTTGACAAAAACCAAAATACTGTAAATAGTTGTTTATAATATAGTTTGCACAAAGTTGATTTCATTATTATATTCAAACACACAAACTAACTGCAAAGCTATTAAAGACAGAACATAGAATCTGTGAAGGAACATGTGCTCCTTTTAGCAGTGTACCAGCTAGTAAAATGTAAAGGAAAATACTCAGTCTCCTAAGAAAAATTCATGGAAAGAGGCAAAAATGCTTCATATCGAATGCCTAATGTCCAGTTCACAGAATAGTATCAAGACATCTAAATAGTATCAAGACATCTAAAACTTGCCTCTTCCACTACAGAGACTATGCCAACACTGGGTCCCCTAAAATTATTTATTAATTTTTCTTTTCTTTATTAATACTTTCCAAACCATGTGTACTAATAAACACCACACTTAAGTGCTTACCAGATTTTGATCTTCCATGTGTTGAGCTAGAAGCAATGGTGAGAGACTGTGGTTTAACTGGATCTACTGGTACAGCGTAAGTGCCAGCACTTGGAACTTGGATGTAAGGTCCGACTGCTGCTACCCTTCCTGAAGCACTCAAGGATGACTGGGGTGATGAAGTTCCATTAATACGATTCAACTACAAACGAAAAAAAAAAATCAGCAAATTGAAACGTGAACTTCCATTTAATCTTGGCATTTGTGCATGAACAGGAGGCATAAATTTATTATCTAGAACCATCCACTGTAGCTAAGAAACCTTAATGATTAAGTTACCATACTCCATGCTTCTACCTCTCCCCACCCCCCCCAAAAGTAGAAAGTACAAATTTTATTCCCTAAAATCGACACCTCGAAATAAAATTTCTCAGCCACAGCGCATACATTACTTGTAGAAACCTTTATCTGTATTAAGTCTTTTTCATTGTGCCTTTTTTAGGCAAATGGGCTCAAATGAGTTCTTAAATGATCAACTATGGGGGAGGTTGGGGTTGGGGGGGAGATTTTTTTTGTTGTTTGGGGTTTTTTTTAAAGCAACACCTCCAGCTAGGAATACCTACAGGAATCCAGAACAGATCTCTCTAGTCCTTAAGACAAATGGTCTACAGTGCAACTGATTTCTTTTCAAAGTTCCAGACAACTATTTAGACTAACTTTATCAGACCATTTATATTTTTATCAATTTTCCCTACTAGAAGATCAGTATTTTATAAAACCCAAACTTTTTATGCTTTCATGCTTTGAAACAGCCTATAATCACACACTCCTTCCTTGAAATATAAAGTACTATAATTTTTAATATTGTATGATCTGTGCCATAAAGAAAAATAAAATGAAACACATTCTAACAGTTTTCTGATATCTATGCAAAACTCTAAAATAGTTTTAAGAAGCCTGCTATTTTTAAAATAGGTTCTTCAGATGTAATTGTATTACCCAGCTGGGAAAAAGTGAGATTCTATGTAGCTTTTATAGGGTCTTGCTAAACTAAAGTGTGGCCCTTTTAACAGTTTATCTTACAGGAATGTTTTCTTTTTGACGTGCCTCAACTTTTTTCTTGTATAGTCGTTCACGCAGCTCATTGATTCGCTTGTCCATCATAGCCACCTCCATATTACGTTTGTTTAAGAGTTCTTTCTGCTGCTGAAGCTTGGAGTTCTGCTCCTGGTTAAGCCTGTTACGAATCTTGAAAAATAAATAAAAAATAAACAAATAAACAAAAAAGCACTTGTTAGGACAGTACTGCATTTTGTCTGTTGTCAAGCTGTTTTTAATAGTGTTAAAAAACCCAAAGAAACTTGGATTGGCCATGTTCTGACATCTCTAATGTTATGCTTCCACACAGCCTGTCAAATTAGCATTTGCAACCATGAACAACTATTAAAAGAAGGCAGCATAAGAACGTCCTAATAAACTTGTGGATACCTATTAAATACACATAGACTGCATGCCATTTATAGCAAATGGATTGAAGAATTAGGCATAAAGACATTTCAGAACTGAATTACACTGTGAAAGATAAAAATCACAGAAAATGTTTGTTAGAAGTTATGTTTAACCACCAAGACGGTTTGAATATAATGAAAACTTAAATGATATAAAAACTCATAAAAGGAATTATACTATTGATTCTGTTTCCAGCTCCACATGAAACTTTTTGATGTCTGAATGGGCAGTTAACTGAACTGCTAGTGCCAGGACTGGGTGCAGATTATCCTCTCTACATGGGAATTAAACTGAAACCTTCACAGCAGGTTTCCAGTAAGATTAGGGGATGGATTACCTTTATGGTTTAAATCAACCATGACAGTCTTTATAATTACTTCTCTTGCTTTCCCATTGGCATTTTTTCATACCTTCAATAACTCTGACAGTATTGTCTCAGTGTTTCAATTTTCGTGGTAACGTTACATGCAAAAAAAACTTGAGGCAAATTAAGTCTTGATAAACATGTATGGGATCATTGTGAAGCACAAGAGAGAAATCTTAATCTATTGAGCATCTTTGCACTTAGAAATACTCGAAAGATAGATAACCTGATCTAGTTGAAGGTGCCCCTGCTCATTGCAGGGGGGGATTGGACTAGATGACCTTTAAAAGGTCCCTTCCAACTCAAACTACTCTATGATTTTATATGCCTTGTATAAATGGGGAGAGGGGAAAAAGAAGGAAAAAAGGACCCTTATTCCCAATTCATGAAAACGTGATGGATTAATTGTATGTTGCATTTGCTCATGTAAAGAAATGAGACTAATTTTGAAATTTAGATTAATTTTGAAATATTAAATATATTAAGAGCTGTTGCCTTGATCAAAATAAAGTACACGAGTAAATAAAAAAAAGCTCTCAAGTCCTGACACATTGGCATACGATTAAGTATTCCATAACTTTTAAACATAAAAACTGGACAAAATTTCAATGTAAATGGAATATTTAATTACTCTTGTGAGAACTACACTTTACCTGTACCAATCTTCTTAGAGGAAGACATATGATAGTGATACAGGGAATTCTGTGTGAATATACTGCAGCTACAGTGCACTATATAGTGCAGTGAATACAATGCAGATAATATTTTTTATGATTCTGTTAAAATGTGTGATTTAATTCCTATGTGTTTTGTTTATTTACATCAGACATTATAGCTGTATTTTCACAATATATTTTAACTGTAGTTTTATTCACTGTCTAGTCAGGTCTCCAAGTTAAGATGACATCTAAGTGAGCTTGCTACATCCAGTTCTTTGCAAAATAGAAAAGTACTGAAATGAATTTTTAATTTTTTTTTTTTTTTAAGAGAAAGTAAAACAAATACTAGATTATGTCAACATTCAGTATTTCAGTATTAAGGTCTGAGAAATGCCCTTCAGAACACTTGCACGCTTTGTATCATTACGTGCATAAGCACCAACAAAAATAGTTTTTAAAGCTAATGAAATTCTGTTTTAAAGAGGGTTATATGCTAACTAAAACCTCACACATCAACAGCATTCCAGTACACCAGTTTTATAAGATGTCACAAAATTAAACGGCCGTCCATAAGAGCAGTAATACAACCTTTTAAAATCTACAGCTATCATCCAAATAGCATCTCTCCACTACTTACCTGTAGCTCTTGATACAACTTTTTTAATTCTACTGCTGCAGGTCCTGTCATTTGTCCATTGTAAGACTGAAACCCATTCAGTTTCCCTTTCCTTAAATCCTCCAGCTGCTGAGTAAGTTGATCCACTTTTAACACTGCAGCCTGTAGCTCCTGCTGCTTTTCCTGGAACATTGCACTTATATGCTCAATTTCAGTTGCTAAAATTAAGAAGATAAAAATAACAAAAACCAATTCAGTGAAGCAGAAGTTGTTATTTTTTAATTCTACAGGTATTCATACATACAACACAATAATTTTAAATCTAGTATATGCATACACCTGTAAAATATTTATGTGTTGGGAATTTGTTGTCATAATATTTCCTAATAGTTACAGATTAGACTTATTCTGACTTCATGCCTGACTACACAAAACAAACAAAAAGTTACATCATATGCAAGTTTCATAGAAACGCAGGACCCTCTAAGACAAAAAACATTTGAAATCCTGCTTCAATGCTACATTGACTAGCAATATAGCATTATTTGCTAGTCATGCAGTGAATAGTAAATTAAATTAAATTCCACTTACATAGATTGCCATTCATGATCTTGCTGTAGTCCACTTGTCCTCTCATGGCACGGATTTTTTTCAGCTTTGTCTCCTGGGTTTCAACACGTTCTTTAAGTTTTTGAAGCTTTTCACTCTCAGAAACAGACTGCTGCTGACGACGTTCTTGCTGCTTCAGATAACGCAAACGTTGTTCCTGACAAAAATGAGGTTTTAGACAAGAGGTACCTTTTACCCGTTTATTTTAAAAAAGTTACCTTAGAAAAACCCATCACTATGGCCAGTGAGTTTTTTTCATTTCCAGAAATCAGAAAAAGTCGTATCTAGTTAAAATATGTATCAGTCCTCCTAGAAAAACTCCTAACATTAATTGAACAAATCTGGTTTAGAGCAAAGATTAGTTTTTTTAGACCAAATATCAAATTTACATATATGCGCAAATACAACCCTAGCCTGAACACTCAAACACATCTGCAAAGGTTCCTCTGGCATTTGTTTTCTGCTGCTATTAACACTTTTCCTGCTGTTGCAAAATGAACTTCCAACGCTGTTATCCAGCTTCCCAAAGAAGACAAAATATGTCCAACAGACCATTTTAAACAAGCTGACCTATGGTAAGATAATGTTCTAGTTCTAAATAGCAGTACTTCTGCTGGGCACACATGGAAAATGTTTCTTTTTCTACATCATTTCCATCAAAAAAACCAACAGAAGCGGTAGGTTGATTCCTAAGTACTCCAAGCATCCAATGCATTGTGTATATTGTAACACCTACAATAATGTCAAAAACATCAAACCCAGTTCCCGCTCTTAAAAACATACTTAGATTCTTACATCTCAGAGACTTTGGAAATGTAATATGTGAATATCTACAAAGTCAGCATATTCTCATCTCATGCCACAATTACTACGCTGGAATGAATGAGCTACTAAAGATGAGCACAGAGTCAAGCCTGGTCTATCACAGATCATGAAGCAGGCCTCACAAAAGAAACAAATAAAATCTAGCAATATTTTTATAAAGACACGTAACTTGGCTTGACATAGGTTATTATAGTATCATTTACACTGAAATGTTGTATACTGCCTAGGTTAAGATTAACTTAGTAAAACAATGGATTTTTCAAGCTCTTTCTTGAGCTTATCTAGAATGAATTGGCATCTTTTTCTGTATCTATAAAACTTATGTTTGCATATGTTAAAGGAAATTTGTATTTATTATGATCTGTATAGAATTATTACCTTAGCAACCAACATTTGCTGTTGGTTTTCAATCTGCTGCTGTTGTCGGGCAGCCATATCTTGAAGTTCAGAAAGAGTGAGCTCAACACGTGGATTCCCAACCTGCAGAACACAAAATGTTGTATTAGTGTGTTGATGTATATTAAGTGTTCTGACTATAATAATACTGACAGATACCTATGAAAGAGTAAGGAACCTCACAGCAGAAAAAAAGGATACAGACCATGCACGTACCAGGGACAGAAAAAGCAAAAAGGGGAAAAGCAGATGAAAGAGGAAAACACTAAGAGACAAAACAAATGAGACAAAAGCCCTTTGACTACATGTAACACTGCTCTATTAAGATGTTCTCTAGAATTGGTACACAGTGCTGGTATGGCACATGTGATAACACACACGCAAGCAGGTATTTTAAGCAGTAACTGGAATCTGAAGCTTCTTTCCTTTCCTAACACTTTCAGTGTAACTGCCTTGGCAGCTTTAACTGGTGGTTAGCATTATTTACCTAGCGCAGGACAAGACCATGTGAAAACCCTTAGATAAAGGCTGTCACTAAGCTCACACCTAAGATGGTGAAATTTCCTGGCAGATTGGAGCATTTAAGGTAAGAATCTGTGAAAAACAGTCTGTACAAAGTGAAGCAAAGTAAAGTTGATCCCCTTTGGATAAGTAAGTGGCTATTACTGGGCAAACTTTGAATGAAAAACCAAGATATTAGTGGGGCTTTATAATTTACTCCTTCTGCATTCCCAAATTCATAAATCATTTACAAAATTGGGGTAGAGAGGCAGTTACTGAAAATTGTTTAAAATTTATACGTGAGAGACCAAATATTATGTGTTTTTACAAATGAATACATTATTTCAGTATATTCAAAGTTCTATCAAATATAATTTAAATCTATAAATTACTTCAATTCAACCATGTTTTTACTATGCAATCACAAGAGAGAGAATGCAGTGTAACAAGACAAATTCCAGAAGCTGACACTTGCCCAATACCTGCTTTGCTACTCAGAAAACCAAACCCACCACCTTAGAATCGCACAGTTTAACAACAACTTTAGAATTTGCACAGAAAGAGAATACCAGCCTTTGAAAAATTATGCTGGAAAGCTCGGAATAGTCCATCAGCTGTTTCAAGGTATTTACAGGCAATTGAGTCAATAAATTGAGTCAATATAAAAGCTGGATTACTGCATTGTAATAAACAATATATTATTTTCATGAAACTACACGACTACACTATTAGTAGAACAAATGAAAATTATATCACTTCCTATTTCAAATATAGTTAATACTGCTGAAAAGAGTATTAAATGTTTGGGATATATTAATAAATAAAAATCTTTTTCAAATTAATGTTCACAAAATGGAATGAGGTCTAAACATTTTAGAGATGCACAAAAAAACCCAAATCCAACCAAACAAAAAAAAAATCAACCAACAAAAAAGCCCCAAACACCTCCCCACCCCAATCAATGAAGCATCAGATTGTGGATCTGATCAAAGCTGATGCCGGAGGAAAGCAGATTTAGTTGCTCTGCTTTTCTGGGCCCACCCTACCGACTTCCAATGCAGTCCTGTAGTGACCTTGTCCGACATGTCCCCTGCAATACTTGTACTTCACTCTAAGAAAGGTAAGATTCTCCTCTTAAATCTTGTTGATACTGAAGTATCACAGCCACTTTGAATGGCTTGTTTCATATTCCTACATCAAATTCCTACTTAAGTAAGTGTCAGTTCTCCATTCAATGCATAATACAGAACTGTTTCTTTAAGCTTCAGTCAGGAAAGGAAAATAATATTTGTTTTAAAATAACCAATTACTTTTTTTCCCCCTATTTGAACACCAATTAACATTTCATGTTTCTGCACACAATTATTCAGGTAAGATATGAACCTCAAGGTCAGTCACTAAAATGAGCCAGATTTAGAAAACTAACTTTCAAAGTTGCTGCACCTTAGCCACATGATATAGACATGTCAGACTAAAATTTTTAGAGAAAGTTATTGTCCCTCTTCCAACATTTCCTACTGAATAAATTATGGAATGAAATTATAATTCTTACTGGATACAACTGAAACGCCTTATTAGTCAACAATAATGAAACCTATTTATGGTAGGGAAGTGATTAAAAAAATAAAAATCTATGTATTTATTTACAGTTATAACTATATAGAATAGTGAAACTAGAACAAAAGGTAAAATCCACCCAAACACTAATTCTCTATTTCAACACTTTGTTAGTGAACACAGTAATTAAAAATAAAAAGATTGAACTTAGTAGTGTATACTTTTTTTATTAGCATGACTTATGAGAGACAAGAGTCGTTCACAATATTCTTTAAGGCCAAAAAAACTTGCATGCACTTGTGGCCACCAGCTAATAAAAGGAGACATTTTATTATTAATTACAGACTGAAAGACACTAATTGGGTAAGAAAATAAGGAAGCTTTTCCAAGTGCCATCCACAAACCAAAAAATGCTCACTTGAGACAAGAAAATAACATAGAAAAAAAACAGATGCTGCTCCCAGAACACGTTCAGGCTCTGCTGACTTCCTTTGGCATGATCTTCTGCCAGAAACACCTAAACATCTACATCTGCTTCTGCTGGACTCTGTAGGTAAAGTTCTTAAAAGGGGCTCAGAATGCCTTGAATGCTTCCCTCTGGATCACCAATTTTAAAAGTAAAAAATGGGGGTGGGGGTGGTGAATTAATAGTATTTTCTCAATACACATACGCTGTTTCAAAAATATACAACTGGCATCAGACTATGCAAAGCCTTCCCAATGCTTCCCTCCTTTCTGCCTTGATCATCTGTTTAAGTTCACAACATTGATAGCTCATTCTATTTCTATCAGTAATTTTCAGTATAACTGTCCAAGAAAGAGAGAGACATTTTATTCTGCTAAGAAATCTTGTTAAAAACATATCCAGACTCAAAAAGTGGTATCTATATAAAGGTTGTGCATATTTCAAGATAAAAAAGCAATTTCACCAAGTGAAAATTAGAGATTTTCTAAATTAAAAATGTAACCTGGAATGCACAAAGACAATAAGCAACTGGTTTGTAAAAGCACCACGAACAACAACAAAAAAACCCAGTTTGACCCAAAACCTCAGAATTTTTACTGCTTTAAAGAGTGTATTTGAAAGTATAACTTATAATGCCTGAAAAAGTACTGCATTACTTTGTATTATGTAAAATACAGAAGATTAATTGTAAGATGAATGCAAATATTAGCTTCTCCCTGAAGAAGCTATTAACTATTGTAAAATGTTCCATTTAGAAAGTATAATGTCTAAAAACCTTTTATACACAGCAAAGCACAAGAACATGGGAAACAGTAATAATTAACCATTTAAATATAAACACTCTATGAGAAATAATGTTTACCTCGCTGAATATCAGTAAGTGTCCCTTTCACTTAAAAGAACTATGCTATACTTAGGAAAGAAAAGAGGCGGCAGCTGAGGAAACAAAGTTTTAAACCTGTAACTTCACTCGTAGTTTGTTCTTTTTCATCCACATGGCAAAAACATTAAACAGACCAAGCAGAATTCCTCTTCGACATCAAATCAATTATTTTCAGATAGACTGTTGCCAATTTCAGGTCTCCAAAACAGGACAGCATCATTTTTGAAACAGTATGAAAAACACTGAAACTTTCTCTTGCCAAGATCTAGTTGAATCAATTCGTCTAGAGCATTTCATATTAGTTGAGTCTGCTTGTAATAATCTGCATGTAAACAGCACCACTGAAAAAAGTCCATCTCCGTCCGTCTTCAGAACCTCAGGTTATGCAAGGCAAAGACAGCGCTGCATTTTCTCAGTTCTTTAATGAGGTTGTGGGTTTCTCAGATTCTTAAGTTTGTGCTGTTCATACTAGTTATTAACAATTTCATCCTTGAAGTCACTCACCGCTCATAACAACCACCAGCCTATCACATTTAAGGTCCAGACCTCCTCCTTTCTCCCGCAGCAACAGAAACCTACCTCCTGCAGAACTGCCTTCTGAAGGAGGTACTAAAAGCCAGTACAAGTATCTACTCCTCCAGATTCCACAGATTCATTTGCTACATGGTGATACATCAAAGCAGACAGTTTTGCTGAATTGTAAATTTCTTTTCATTGATTCACAGAGGCATTTACACATAGAGATGAACTCCTAAATGAAATGCTATAGAGCAAGCCCTGCATTATTAGGCACTAAGGAAGTATTATGTATGTCTCATACAGATAAGAATACACCTATGTTCCCTAATTTCTTAATATTGACAAGAATCTTAAAAAAATTGTATTTATTTTGTTTAGCATGCACTTTATAAGGGTCATGATGAGAGACAGAATTTATAATGAACTGGAGTTTCAGCTTCTAACATTACCCTCCTACTACAGGCTAATATTTTACCATTTGATGATTAATATTTTTGAGACAGGTGAGATGAATGGTACAGTAGTAATTAAATAGATTGGGAACCAGTTTACAAGCAGCCTCAAACCAAGTCATACCTTAGGCATTTAATTAAGAAAAGGAACCTCCTTTAATATTTATTTTTACACATTAGTCTTGTCACTGTGAAAATTCATTTTCTTGTTCCTCCTTCCTTTCTTTCTGCCCTCACACTATGCTGTTCTGTCCATCACCACGAACTCCTCAGTCTGCATGCTTCTCAGCTATTATGAAATGGCTTACTCATTGGCAACCCACAATAGTAAATGAAAAATTGCACCTGAACTCAAAATATTTCTTTGACAAGCAGAGTGTACTGTAGTCAAGACATGTAAGCAATAAGGGCAGATTCCAGTGTTTTTTTGCCTTTACTCCCATCAGAAAACTATCTTTTAAGAGGAATCTAATAATGTCACTATCAAAATTAAAAACCCACAAGACTGAACTTTTGAAATAGATTATTTTTTAAAAGATGATAATTAGGATGTGGTTTGATTTTATGCATTTCTTTACCTCCATGTCTAAACCATGAAGATACTTATATTTGATCATTTTCTAAGTTTGCACTACTAAGATCAGAAAGTTACTTTGAAAATAATAATGAAACATATACCAAACACACACCTGAGACTGTTAGGACT